ACAGGAACTTCAAACTCCTGGGCGGCAAGCAGTGTAGCTTGTGAGGCCCTGTGCCTCTCCTGCCTTCTGGACGGGGGAAGATTTGTCCTTTAATTGTGTCCTTTTGTGCATTCTAAGAGGCCCCGCTTATTCTACCACCTTTTCCATCGTGTTTTCCTGAGTCTCTGTTGCCCCTGAAGGCATCACAAATCCTGCCCTGCACAAAGCATGCCAGGATATCAGCTGCGCAGAACAGCCCTGGCATTCAGCAATGATAAAACAAGCACACATCTGGATGGGCGTCATTTCAGTCACTTGCACACTGCCTGCTTCTCTACACAGAAATGTTTTAATGGCAGGCCTAGCAGAAGCACATCAGTGCTCATCTGTCACGTATTACCTGACCTGCTGCGAACCCAGAGTTTCCCTTTCCAGTATTCTGCCATTAATTTCATCAGTAGCCATGCAAGCAAACCAAAGTAACTCTTAAAAACACACTGGCATAACATCAGACTGCTGCTGAGAATAAATTGTTTGCATTCCACTCAGTATGTGCCTTTTAACAGCTAGATGTGTGCCAAAACACAGCTGTGTTACCAAACACCTGCCTTTCTGGAAAAGAGAAATTATTGGGTCACACTCTCAGCCTCCCAAACTGGTTCGGATTCCCTTAAAGCAATGCAACTCTTTCAGTTCATTCCTGTCCCCACATCATGGGCTTAAACTGTGTGTCATTGCAAAAGCGCTGTTCCACGACCTCCATTTTGTAGCCGCTGGAGGGAGTTGGAGGGCAACTTGTGGGCTTCAGGGGCACAGTGAACGTTGGACAGTTCACAGACACGGACAAAAGAGAGCTTTGAACAGCAAGAAGGTTCCCAGTGAAAATCTGTGCACAGAATGAAGATGTGTTCTTGCTCCCAGCTAACAAGCCCAATTATTTCAGGAAGCCAACTCCACATCACCCAGCGCTTTTTTAGTTCTCTCTGATCCATGGAAAAGGTTTTTTGGTTGTGTAAATACTCTAGTTTTCCTCCAGGACACAAGGGTGGCTGTTGTGAAAGCCTGAAGTTCCCAAACTGCTCTCCCATCGCAACTCTCAGACAGAAAATGAGAAAAACCTCAGGAGAGCACTGCCCCATCACCAGAGGGAACAATTGGAGCTGCAGCTGTGCTGATTAGCAAGCACAGAGCCAAAATCAACAGAACCAGCTTCCCTGGGGGCCATGGCTGCTTCCCCAGGACCTCCTGCCCCATTTTGAGCACCATATGAACCGCAGGAATGTCTGAGACATTGCAGTGTTGGTCAAAGGAAACTCTCAGAAATAACAAATGAGCTGCACGGTCTATTCCATAAAATGATGGACACCAATTCAAAGCTGGCGTACTCACAAAATTAAATGTAAAACATCTGTAGAGTGACAGAACATTACCATCAAAAAGATATCATCAAAAAGATATTATTTTCCCCGTTACTGTTTTTAAATGTTGCTTCAGAAGGCACATTAAATAGAGGGAAGTAGTCGTTAAAGCTGAAAGAGAAGCAACCTTCACACACACAGAGGTGCCACTGTAATGCTTTGTCATTGCCTTAAGTCAAAATATTTTGATTCTACTGTTTAAACTATTAAAATGTCACATCAACATCAAATCAATTCCATGTGTATCTCACGGGCTGTGACATGATACCAGCACTCTGACTGCAGGATCCATCAGAAAATGTCTCCTGTAACTGTTGATCAATTGTATCGCCAAGGATATCTACAAGATCTAGAAAAACAGATTTTAGATTTTATCTCCTAAAGTTCAAAAGGGATCTCCAGCCCATAACTAAAATAACAGGCAAAAACTCATGCCAAGTAAACATACTAAACTGCAATTGGTGATTTAGGGTGACATTATTACTGCCGAGCTATGTACAACCATGTGAAGAGTGGAAGTGAAGAGCTCTCAGAGGCTGAGGTTATCCTGTACACAGCCTTTGTTTGTTTGACCTCAATTAATCAAACATTACGCATACAAAATTCCTATAATCTTCAGATGTGACTGTGGGTCAGAATTTCTTCCCTGATACGTCGTTGCAGTTTTTCTTGTTAAAGAGCAAAAAATACACAGTGTTCTTAAGAGCTTCTGACAACTGTGGCAGATTGTTTCAGCCAAGTACTATGACAAAGTATTCCAGGAAAAGAGAGTGCTCAGGGAAGAACATCGTCCTCACTTTCTGCTAACTGAGCAGTAGGGCCTTAACACTGCTTTCCCATATTCCTGCCCCATTTAAGCTTAGGGAAATCTTTATAGCATAGTCTTAAGTTTTCCTTACCATAGGAATTGTGATGTGTCACTGTTCAGTCAATATGTAACAGCAACGTTACAGGACAGAGTATCCTTCCTTTTCCTGTTAAAACAGGGAGACAGAAGTTTAGTTCAGAGCACATCACACTCCAAAGACTGAATTTTTTTTTTCAGTAATCTCTAGTTTTGTTATTTATACAAAGGCATCCTGGATTTACTTTTTTTTTTTTTTTTTTTTTTTCCTCTTCCAATTTTAAATAATTACCCAAATTAGCTGTGTTATGCTGAAAACTTGAAGTTCAATATTTCTTGCTGTATCATGCTTTTTCTTGTCCCCTGTTCCATCTGCTTTTGGATACAGGGGCTCTATCTGAATACAATTATTCCACAATTTCTTAAGTGTTAAAGTCCCACTCTACCAATGAAGCCTATGTCACCTTTCCTTTACGACACCAATATTGCCTCTCTCATGTTCTATCACTATCATAAAAGCCTGCACAGATGGAATGATGAAAATAAATTGCTTTAAAAGCTACCTAAATCATTTAAAATTTATTACTTACTTCATTATTCTTAAGCAGGTTCCACCAAGTATAATTGATTCAATATCAAAATAGTAAGTGTAATGGTAGGAGAATTCTTCCCATGGTGCACAGCCATGGCAGATTCCAGCACAACAGTGGATATCTGTGCTTTCATTCATCCTTGAGGGAAATTGTACAAACCTGAAACACAAGCAATTTTACAGTATTTATTTTCAAATATGTCAGATGGTTTTTCATGCTATTTTCATTCCTGAGTGCTTATTTTCATACTAAACAAGATGCATTTGTTCTCTATCTTGCTTGGTAAAACATAGAATTCTTTACAGTAAAGTAAAAATTACTGTATCTGGAATATTTAACAGGACAAGGTGAGTATTTTTCTGTTTGCTGCTACATAATATTACCATGCCACCCCTTTATTCCCATTCAGACTTCACCTTGGATGTGACCTTGCTGAGGCTGAAGTGCAGTGTGGCTGTAATGTGCAGCGTGAGCTCAGCCTAAGACGATTCTTAAATGCACTGCTGGTGAGAGTTTATGCCACAAATAAATGCAGTAGATTACTCTTAAACTCATACTTTAGAATGTTTATTACAGATGCAATTTCTGTCTTAACATAAATCAAAGTGCTTAAAGTGCCATATGATACCAAATGTTTAGTTTAACAGCATAAAATAGAGCAAAAACTGTATACAGTACTTTATAGATGCTATAAAATTCTTGTACTTGTGGCCTCACCTCTTTGCATTGCTCAGATCAATCAAGTTTGCTGAATGCTGTGGATAGTAAATACTCACGTGAACCAACGATTAGCTTTCAGAGTTTGGTTCTTCTAAGCTATTACTGTCTTCAGTAAAAATACTGACCAAATTACAAAGCGGGGACTGTATTCACCATGACTGAATTTACTTCACCATCATTAGGCTATTAGGCATTCTCTGAAAAAAGTTCTTCTGCTTTGCCCCAAACTTGTATTAGCAACCTGTTATATAAGATCTGTCACACACAGGCATATAAACACTTTAAAATCACTTTGTGCATTAAGGAATGTGTTATTATAAAGCTCCCTGTGTCCCGTGCTCTTCCTGCCTCACTCAAAAATTGTTGGACCCATGTACGATCTCCTTAAGTCATGTCTAATTTCTGTAAACTCTTTTACATCAGAGAAAGCTGAAAAAAGGCTGAGGAAGCATTTCTGAACCACAAGTCTATGGGAGACCGAAGATTTTGGCCTGAGAAACTTCCCAGAGTTCAACAAAACAACTCTGCCAAAGCAAACACCTCCTCCCTGTCAGCTGAGTCAGACCACAGAACCGCATGTTGCGCCTTCATTGCTCTTCTTTCTGAGTAAAAACATCAAGGAAGACTGCTCTCCATATTTCCCCAAATTATTTTAAGGCTCTAGATATCTCCTAAGGGAAGTGGATATCGAGCCGTATCTCCAACAGCAAAATCTGCTCAGGTAATATGTAAGAAAAATGCCTGCAGTGAGAGCGTAAGAACACGTAACTCATGATGTGCTGCTTCCTTCAGCACTTTCCATCAGCTTTTTTTAGCATTACTGTCTGGATTCTTTGACCTGGGAAGGAGTCAAGATGCAAAACAAAACAAAGAAGCTGTTGTATTAGAGACTGGTCGACAGCTTAGAGCCTGCAGACGGGCAGAATAACTGTGCACCAAGGCTGTCACCAAGGCCCGACCATTCGCTCTTTGGAAACACAGACAGGGATGGGAGAAAGCAACTGCTTCCTGCTGACTCCATCGCAGGCCTTGCAGGCTGCCTCTCATAGCCCCATAAAAGTGTAATGCACACAGTTCACCCACAGATATTCTGAAGCTGATGTCTGTTATTACCACCACCCAGCAATTTGCCTAGCAGGCTGTGACACGCACAAAGCCACCAGCAAGAACCTCTTCTTTCTAACTGCAGCATCAATCCTCGTGGTTACCACACTGAGGTCTTTACTTTTCTCCCTTGTTAACTTATATTCCAAATGCAGACCTCCTTTCAAACTCCTTTCCCTTCCCCCACCAAGGGGGGGATATTTTATGAGTTTATGCACACCCAGCAGTTCCTCTTCAGGCACTTCCTCTGCCCTGAAGTAATTGAACTTTACTGGAGAGTTTCCAAGACAAGGGTAAGGTGTTTGTGGTTTTTTCCTTCTCTCCTTAGACTGCAGCCCAGAGCTGAGCAGAACTTCCCAAGCAAACAGCCTTGCTCCACGGCACCGTTGTTTCCTGAGCTTTGGGATTCACTCCTTTGCTGAATGTCTGATCCTGGGACTTGTTTGGAACTCCTCTTCCACTGTGCAGCCTCCTACCTGGGATCTGCTCATCTACATACAGTGCTCTGCAGAGAAAAGGCTCTTTCCTGATAACACCCTGGTAAGTATTGCCCCACTTCACACACTCCTATCCAGCAATTGTTATTCTAGGAGACACGCTGCTATCAATTTTTCACTTTCCTGACTGGTGGTCACTTCCCTTTTGTTCCAGAGCTCCAGTGTTTCCATGACTTCTTATTCCAACTGCAACACTTCTGGCAGGTGGCACAGCATCATTTGGTATTTTATCCACTCCAGGTGTTCCCAAAATTCAGTGTGAGTGCACAGACTGTTTGCAGAGCCCAGCAAAGACAAGTGTGATGTGGTTACATTCAGTAGTTTAGTAAAGAAAGGAATATTCTATACCTGTAGCTGACAGCATGTGTTAAGTATTCATACTGGATTGAAGCCTTTCCAAAATAAAAGCAGTAACATTCCAATAATTTTCAGTCCTTTCCACATACTCAGTTTTACCCCTGAAAGCACAAAACTTTGCTCTGTCTCATGATCCCAGGAAAGAGGCATTGTGAGAAATGTTGCAAGAAGCGAGTAGGACATTCAGCAAAAAAAAGAGAAAAAAGGCAAAAAAAAGCACACCTAATTGGCAGAGTTGCAAACCAGCAATTTATCTGTCTGAATACCTGGGAGAGGGAAGGAAAAAAATTCAGAAGCCAATAGTCAAGAATAAAATGAGGACCAGGCATTCTGCCGAAGCATTTGTTTAAGCGAGCAGCTGGAGGGGGGGCTGTAAAACACAGTTATCTGCTTTACTTCCTTCAAAAAGTGAATGAAAAATTATTCTGTGCAGCAAGAAAACTACTTGTACTATAGTGCAGAAAATATATTGTTTCCTTTAAAAGCATCTTACTCAACACTTGATTTCACATTTTCATTCCACAGAAATTACAATTCTGTGCATTTTTATATCTCTGAGTTCACCAGCTCACGGTTTCGAAGTATGAACAACTTCATAAATATTGCTCACAGCATTAGGAAAAAACCAGGCAGATTCATATTCTTCCACATAAGTACAGGTAGTATGGGTGACTAACTGAAATATCATAATCACACTTCCTGGCACTACGGAAACGACAGCACTGCTGTACACAGAAGTAACTGACACTGAGTAAATGTATGTTAAAGTTGACATCATCCCAAAGCATCAATGGCCAAAGGCCAAAGTTTCAATGAAGAGTCATTGTGGCTTTGTTAGCTTTGAAACATTTGATCTTAAGAGCTTTTGGTTCTCGTGACACCTACAGGATTTCCCGTGCTTCAAACTGTGTCGTGATGCCAGTGCACACCCCCAGCCAGGTGTCCTTCCCTGGCTCACAGAGGTAAGGGAAGTCATGCTGCACCTGTCACCCATTTGCTAACTGATGTGACCTACCTGCAGCAAAGCACATTTCTTCCACCTACAAAATGGGCTCTGGATGGTTCCTCTGGAAGGAAGAACTGAGTAAAATCTTCTTTGGAAATGGCCTTGCTTGAGCACAAGCACACAGGTGAAACAAAATGAATGCTTCTCGCTGGAAGTTATGCTTTGTTTGTATAACCTCACATTTTTGTCTTCATAGATGAACATCCGTTTAGGCAAAGCCTGAATCATGGCATCCTCTCAGCACCTTGCAGCAGGGCAACACAGTGACACGAGAAGGCTGCAGCCTCACCTCACCCTGCTGCATCATGAGATTCCCAGCAACGTTAACCTTTACCATAACTGGGCACACTTACCATGTTTTCACTTGAATGAGTAAGACAGATCACACCGTCCTGTGCTGGCTTTGGACATTTTTTGTGGACTTCATACATGCAGATATCCTCCAAAGCTATAACAAATCATTTGCTTTATCTTTCTTTAACAGAACCAAAGTCTCTGAAGAGAAAGAACTCAGGGAAGAGCTCACACCACCCAGCACCTGCACTTCTTTGTCTCTAGAACCATCCCAGTGGCTCCCATCAGCCCAGCCTGATGATGCCTGCAAGCTGCTGGAGTACTTCCCTCTCAGGTGCTCCATATATGAATGACTGCATGCTCCAGCTTCACCTTCCTTTCCTTCTCTGCTTGTGCATTCCACACCCTGCACAGAGGCTGGGTGAAATCAAGCTTACTTAAGAGGGTCCTTTGAATATCCACTGCTTCCCTAAGTGTTTTGTTTTCCCCACCTGTTCCTCTGTCTCTACTTCTTATATTCCTCCCCTCTTCAGCACAAGAGCCTCACAGTTTGATAACATTATCTTGTTAATTCATCCAATTGAAGCTTCAGGAATGCTTAAATAAGTTTGGAGGTTATTAAATAGATTCACAGAATTCTAAATACTCTTTCAGACACAGAGGAAATAAAGTTCTTCCCAGAAGAGAAACTTCTTGGAGTAATTCTATTGCAGCAAAACATGGGAAGGTTTTTTTAATGCTGAGTCCCACCACAAAAGGCTGACAACGATAATGGGACATCCTGCAGCACTTAGAGAGAGCTTGTCTCAGGAATAGCAGTTTTGAACCAAATCCTGCTCACACAACACCATGAGAAACACGCTTTTACTATGATTGCAGTCAAAAACCAAGGTTCTGCATCTGCACCATTAAGCGAAGCCATGGTCAAGAAGAAACTGAAAGGAAAAAATATGAAGTTTTCTTCTTTTCTCTTATCTGGAAAGCCATAGCAATTTAATTTTTGTTCTGGAAAACGTGAGAAGTCAGTTCATGTGACATATCTACAATGCAATCCACAACCACCAAGCATTCAAATAAAATACCACAATGCAGTGAACAGCCGTGACACTTCTTTCAAATATCTACCATCTAACAGCAAATGCCAAGTATACTGCCTTGTAAAACAATAGGGAACATAAAATGGAAAGAGAAAACTGAACTCAGGAAAAGGAACAGATAAAAATCCTGCTTTTGAGAATGAAGCCAAGTAATAACATCCCACCCTGGCCCCCGTACAGGATCGGGAGAGGTTGCTTCCCTTGGCAAACTGAGAAATCACACTTCTTCCAGCTTCTAGTTACACTCTAAACAATGAGTGCTTTGGGGCAGACTTTGTTTTTGAGAGCTCAGATCAGCTATCGTGACACTCGATTTTCATACAACCCACTGGTGAACAAGAACTGACCCTTAATGCATTTGGGGAACGTGTCCCTCAGAGTCCTTCCACGCACTGTTAATAACTGCAATTTTGGATGACTTTTCTCCACTGCATGAGACTGTTTACATCACCAAAAAAGAGAAACAAACAATTAGTGGTTTTATAAGTCTTACCATGATTTTTCTAGGAAATAAGAAAGCAAACAGATTCATCAGAGGTGAGCGGGGCCAAACAGACACTCTCACATCCAACCCCTGCTCTGCTATGTGACGTGGAGGAGGGCTGCGATCAGCAAACCCAAAGCATTCATGTTTCCTTCTCCCCCTCTTGCAGCCAAGCTGCAGACAGACACAAGGCTCGTCTCATCCTGGAGCCAGGATCGTATTTTTTCTCTTTAAAGAAGGAAGGAACATTTGCAATGACATTTTCTTCAGTGCCATTAAATTTCATAAAAGGTGGCACTGTCCCTGGCCACCCCTCGGCTGGAGGTGTAACTCAGTCACAAAAGGTGCCTTGATGTGACTCAGGGTGGAGGTATTTTCCCCCTAGAATCTACACTTGCAAGTTCTCCCCTTAAAGGCAGCCTGTTACTATGCCTTGCTCCACTCCTCTCAGAGAGCAGCAATCAGATTGTTTGCAGTGCATTAGCATACTCGAATAGATCCGTCATGGTTATTAAAAATGTTACAGAGGCCAAATATTTTGACTGAAAAAGCAAAAAAGACATTGCCAGCATCCCGAGATCCCTATCTGCTGTAAGCTTTGTGATGAACTGGCCCAAAATAAAATTACAGTGGTGGTCATTACCACTAGCAGGCTGGCACTTTGGTAATTCCACAGCAAGGAAGGGTGAGGAGGAGGCTCACCAGCCCAGAGCCATGGGTTTGAACATCCCTGGGTAAGTGAAGGGACAGAAGGCAGATCCACAGGCAGCAGTGATGCTTTAAGCAAGACATGCATGGAAAAGCTCTTGGGTACAGTATGGACATATGAGCATTAGTTGTGTGGTTTTGCAAATCACTTTGTCCCACAGAAAAAAAAAAGCAAAACCAGGAATCTAAAACTGCTGATAAAAATCTAGAGTTTGCAGAAGAGGTTTTGAGCATACGGTGGAGCAGAAAACACAAACTCCAGGTTTCTGCTTCCACACTTTGCAGACTTTGCTTTTCTGTGAGTATAACAGCAGAAGAAAACCCCTCAATACAAGCTTGCTCTCAAGTGACTCTCTGTGTAGATCTGCCAAAAATGACCATCCTGCCTCTATCCCCAACTCTCTCAGCATCATTTCTGGTTCTGCTCAATGTCCTCCCAGACCTGGTGCCCTTTTTACCGCATTTTCTCTGCCCAATAGGCAGACCAAAGTTTCTTACAAGTTTACTGTGTCAAAACCTGCAAGAGCAGTGCTCTGCTCAGCGCATTGCCAGCCTTTATTCCCTGGGAATCTTTCCCACAGATGGCCGCACACCCACTGCCCTCCTCACAGAAGTGACAGCACTGTGGAGCTGAAGCCTTAGAATTTTCAGGCAGATGACACTGCCAAGGTTACACCCAGGAGATAACAACTCAGTCGCCAGCAGCAGAGCGCAGCCCGGCAACCTGCCCCACACACCACTTTTGCCTTCAGGAAACAGGACTGAAACAAGCTTTCACAGCTCCCACGGGACTGGGAAGAACTGGAGGATGAATGAATCACTGCTCACAATCCCAGTCTTCAAGGCAGTCGACAGTGAAATCAGCGGGGCCATAAATCATAGAATCATTAAGGTTGGAAAAGATCTTGGGGACCACCGAGTCCAAGCATCACCACCTGGCTCCTCGTGCCAAAGCCTGCAGCATGCTTCAGCCTCCACCATGCTGCCTGGACCTTGGTGCATGCAGCAACGTGGTGGGAGGGCAGAGACTGGATCCAGCAGCAAACAGGCCTGCTGACACAGATGGTTTGTTGAAAACGTTGGTGCTGTTGCAACGCTTTCTTCATTTGTGTGTGCAATCAGCAAATACAGATTTAGCAACCAGGCATTGTTAAACTACGATACACTCTTCCTTCAAGATTTGTTTTGTATACTCACAATTAATAATCTGCCCTGGCACTCCTGCAGTTTCTCGGAGTTAGCACTCAATATTGGCTGCAAAGTGACAATTTGCTGTTGACACTGTTGCCTTAGGCTAAGCCACAGAGCCTGACAAACACTGCTCACATCTCCAGTAACAAAACTGAAACAAGTACTCACAATTTTAGCACAGCAACTAGGAAAAAGGGCTAAATGAGGAAATACTATTCTTCAAATCAAAGCTGAGACATCTGAGAAAGGGGAGATGATTTCAAGAGGGGGCACTGTGCATAGCCAGGCTCAGCATGTTCCCAAAACTGAGGCTGGGAAACTGTTTTAAAGCTTTAAGTGTGCCTTAAATTACCAGCTTATTTTCTGGGACACAAAGGGTTCATTTAGTGGTTTCCTGGAGTTTTCTTTAGTTGTTTCCTTTAGCTTTAGGTCCTGCTGGCTTCAGGGCTGCAGCTATGCCCTCCTATACACCAAGTTATGAATGTGTATTTGATGCATTTAACACACAATTACTGCAGGCCCTGACCCTGCAGATGGCAGCTGAGCTGGTATTCCTAATGAGCACATGGGTGAAATATAAATCACTCAGCTGTAAGATCAGACACTAAATCACAAGCCTCAAGTTTTATAATGTTTACCCTGACAAAACTATGGCTTTTCCTGTGATAAACAAACTGCTTTGTTTTCAGGAGGTCAATCGGTCAGCGATGGGCTACCTGACCTCCCTAGGTCTGCTCATCCCCATGTTTGTGATCCTTGGTTCCTGTGATCTTCTACCACCTCCTATTTTGCTCCTAGAAGAGCAAATTTCTGTGCTGTCCTCTGGCTCGTTTCAAATTTTCTTTAATTTCAATGATTTAACTTACATGGACTGATCTAATTGGGTCTTCTTTGGATCTGTTTTCATAAGGGAAATATTACTGTTGAAGACTCCTCCAATGTAGGGAGCTTAATTACTGCAGTTAATTGCCTCATTCCTAAAAAGCAAGTTTTCAAGCCAAGGTCAAATTTCCTCTGCTCCTTCTAAAGTGCTGCCTGCACTACAAATACTCAAAGTTGCATACTGGGACCCAGAAGGCTAGAAAAAAACAATCATTAAAAAGAAATGCCTAATCATAGCAGCTGCAAAATCTCAACATAAGCTAGCCTATTCCAATAGGTTTTGGTTCTTTTAGAACTACAATGTTGTGTACAGAAAAATATTTGGCTTCACCAGGAGTTAGTTAAGTGTGTCTGCTTTGCAAGACTATTTCCTCCTACCTTTGCATGCGCTGCGTTTCCCTGCCCTGTTATTCCTAACTCCTCAGTTACAATCAGCCAGGTGCAGATCTGAGCATTCACTGTTTGCTACAATCAGGTGTGCTGAGCAGTGCTGCTGTCTCAATGAGGCGCTTTCACAACTGAGACTTTTTCAAACAAGGTCACACTTCATGGATTCCATGTTACAAAATCACAGAATGACATGGGGCTCCATCTAGAAGGCTGCATGAAAGCCCTGCATGAGTTACACGAGGCGAAATCTGCAGCCTTCTGCGCTGACAAATGTTCAGAACATAAAGCAGGGATTACACTTATGCCCATGGGGAACTGCAGTTAAAACGTACCATCCTCCCTGCTTTTGCTGTCTCCAGTGATGTATTACTAGGCAAAACTAAATTGCTCTCACAAGTGCTTTATAAAACCCTTTACATTTTCCTCTGTCCATTAACGCGTTTTGCTTTGCCTGCGTTTTATCTGCACAGATTTGCAATTGCAACGTGCACAGGACTGAGTGCTGACTGCCCAAAGCACCCAGCTGCTGTGGGACTGCTCCATTTTTCTTCATCTCTGTCTGCAGTTTGTGCATTATGGCAAAGTTATAACAGTTAAAAACACATTTGACATTCCAAAGACAGCCTGCAGAATCACGCACAGCAGAATGTATCAAAACAAGAGCAACGAAGGAACTGGCATTCAGCAGTTCCATTTAAATCAAGGCTGTGCCACGTCAAATCACTTTGGGAGATACCTTAACAGTCAGGATAAAAGCCAAGTTATGAAAATTAAAGTTGACTTATTACTGTATAGAAGCCAAAAGCACACAAACTTCTTGAAACCTGATCTTCCATTTCCCAAAAACGCGAAGAGGAAAAATGCAGGAAGCATACATACTATCAGCAATGGTTCCCTTCTACGTGAGCGTTATCCATCAAGCATTCTTTAGAAATTCAGCTGGAAGATATTACTGAGACAAATCTCCTATTTAAGACAGCCCATGTTTATTAAACAGTAACTTACGTATGCACTAAAAGAACGTCCTGCTGTGCTGAGGTATCCTTGTACTCTTAAGCTGACATCACTGAAGTATATACACTAGTATATAGTAGTGCTAAAAATTACCTTACTGAAGGGGCTCACAGAAGAGTCCAGGTGTGCAGGGACAGAGACGAGCCCCAGGTTTTGCTGGAGGAAGGAAAAGGACTCAGTGGAAATAGGAGGTCCTCAGTGCTTCCCAATGTTGTGCTTTCAATGCGCCCAGCGTTGGCTCTCACCCTGCTGTTCTTCACATTCACCTTTGGAAGCAAGGTCAGTCGGGGCTGTTTAAGAAAAGTCAGAACAAGATTTCAATATGAGCTTGTGCCATCGCATGGAAAACTCTGCAATAATAGTCACATCTTATAAGTGAGAAACTAAAAGTTCTCCCTTGCTTTTGTTTACTGGATAATTTTCTTTAAATGGTTCAGGAAATCTGTTTGGACACAGCCAAGCGTGGCATACACGCCTCAGTTAAAAACTGTTGGCATGGGCAGATGGGATCAGGGATTGTGGCAGGAAATCTTAATCACAGTACATACACCAGTGCTTCAGGGACACCTTACACCTCCATCAATACACACAGCTTGACGTCATACACATGTAACAAGCTGTTCTGCTCACAAATGTGTTACATATCTGATGCCCAGACCTGCTCTCACCTAACAGACTTGCTGCTGATTTCTAGTGGCATTGGGCTGCTAAAATTCTCTGAGATGTTGATACAAACACTTCAGCACATTATCAGAACCCCTAACACAAGTTACATCAAAAAAAAACCCAACAAAATACCACCACTGTGAATTGCACCTCCTCCCGGGAATGGTAACAAAAGCCTCCTGAGTGTACTTTTAACAGTGGAACCCCAAACCCACATCTCATGTTTAGCACTGATCCAGGATGGACACGACAAAAGCAACGACCCCCACCAAAGGAGGGTTTGTTATGCATTGCATACAACCCAATGAGAATGTGCCTCTTCCCAGGCTTTCATTGCTAATGTGTAAGTGTCAGCAGGAAAACCAGAGGCCTTCCAACAGAAAATGTCAAATTTGCATCTGAGATATAAAATATTAATTTGGTTTCTGCCAGAAATTGCATTTTCTTTAAGTCCTGGGAGGGTATCAAACCCAAATCCCTGACATTTCATTTTGATTTAGTGAAACAGCAGAATAATTTCCCAGATCACGTTATATTCCCATTGGAAGGAGCACAGCTCATGAACGAGATGCTTTTAGTCAGAGGTAACAAGCACAGTGCTTGGAAGGCTGCCGTTCATCAGATGAAAGTGACGCGTTCTACAAATCGCTGCAGAGAACTGCAGTGTCTGCTCAGCACCATCATGTCTCAGGTCCAGGTATGCAAAGGAAGAGCACAACGTGCTTCACAATCACTTTGCATGTATGTAAGATGACAGAACCACTGCAGCTCTGAGGTTTGTCCTGCAGCTGGGCTTATATCTCTCCTGATCCGTACCAGCGTGCCAATCGTTACCAGGAACACCGGTTCGATATCTCAGTCCTCATCAAGAAAGTATCAGAAAAATTATAAGGGCTTGACCTAAAAACCTGCTGATGTGTAAATACAGAATTCTGAAACAGTCTGATAAAACTTACTGGACACCTGAATGCACCAGCCCATAGCAATGGGGACATTCACCTCGTGGCTTCTCCAGCTGGAATGAACATCTCCGAAAATTACAGGATAGTGCTCCTCTACAGCTCTCACACACACTGTGTGTAAGATTTTCATTGACCCTTAAGCAGTTGAAAGTCTTTTATTTGGTCTTATTATGGAATCAAAGCTGCAGCTGAGATCACAGCTTTCAATTGTTGCTTGGATTTTTTTCAGTATAACTGGTGTTTCAGTGACTGCAAGGCTCATGAGAAGTATCACACTGACCACTCTCAAGTCTGTGCTCTGTAAGCAATGTTGTTTCTCTGTATTTTCTTTAATCCTGAAACCTAAGTGCTGTTAGGTCCCTAAACCCACCATCATGCTTCTGATTAAACCCAACTGCGTGACGTGCAGAAATAAACACAACAGTTCTTACATGGATATGCAAGGAAACACACGTTTGTCAAAACAGAATGAGTAATCCAAAAAAAAGATCATTTTCTCAGAAGTTCTGGGAACATACAGTGATGCAGGAGAGAACAAAGAAGGAATTATTTCTGATCAGAATGAAGAAAATGAGATTATCACTAGATGAAGCAATGACAAGAAAACCACCAGAGAGAATAAGCCACACAGTACATCAAGGAGGCAACATACCTGAGTTGCTCAAAGAACTAGAGACAAGTGCTCCGATGTTTTTATTCCACAATTCTCTAATGCTCAGAGTAAAAATGTCTTACAGTTTATTTTTTTAAGTGGCATAAATAGGCTGTGATAATCAGGTATGTGCCTCCACACGAAAAAAAATAAATCACAGTATCGTGAGATGACCTCAGAAAGTGCTGATAAGTGACCTGCCCTTATTGCCACTGAAGTGGTCACTCCCCTCAAGACTGAGTCACCTGGTGTTACAGGAAATGCAGCAGGAAGAGTGACAGCAGGAAAGGGCACATTGCCACCATTCTGTAGGCAAGAGCTGAAAATTGGGTGATATGTTTAATAACATAAGTATGGAATACTTAATTTAGGGAATATTTAATCTGTGCACTCTGTCTTTGGTCTGGGAGATATCATGAATCCTAGGAAAGGAAAAAAAAAAAAAAAAGCAGAAATGGGATATTCTTTTTGTCTGCCCAGATCTGTCTGTTCTGGATCATCACAGAATGGCCTGGGTTGAAAAGGATCACACTGCTCATCCAGTTCCAACCCCCTGCTGTGTGCAGGACACCAACCAGCAGACCAGGCTGCCCAGAGCCACATCCAGCCTGGCCTTGAATGCCTGCAGGGATGGGGCATCCACAGCCTCCTTGGGCAACCTGTTCCAGTGCCTCACCACCCTCTGGGTGAAAAGCTTCCTCCTGATATCCAACCTAAACCTCCCATGTGACTGCTTCTGCCCCCAGCTGTGCTGCTCACCTTGCCTTTCCATCACGCAGATGTTGGACCTTCAGCATCCACTGTGCCTGGTGGGAGTGGAGTCCTGGGAATGCTCCCTGCACAGAGAACAGCGGTCACAAACGTGAGTACAAAAGGGAGGATGCTGTGAGCAAGACAGGAAAAATGTGTTTCCTCACAGCTCCTACCTCTGCTGGACCTTTGCAAACACGTCGCCTTGCAAGGAAGACAGTTTGTGATACAGTGTTACAGTATGCACAGTAAGAATTCAACCATTTGTCCCCACCTTATTTAAAACACTGAGAAGTTGCTCCCTTTTTGTGCAAACATTTACTGCCTTGGTTAAACATTGTGCAACCGAATAATTCAAAAATTGTTGTTCTGTTGCAATGCTTATTTAACAGTGACATAAGTTGAATCTCTAAAAATAAAGTGTCACAAATACCAGTGTTTCAAGGTGATTTTTACTGCTGTCAGCTATGAGGCAAACGTTAACCTCAAACAAAATAAAACACTTTGTTGGTGTAGCAAGGGGTCACGACTGAGCATCAATCCAGGGCTGCAGGGGGGAATTCCATCTGAACTGTGCTCTCAAAGCCTTCATTTTAGAGCCCACCTTTCAGAGATCCTGGGCACAGTCTGAACATCACTGCTGAGGCAGCATGGCTCTAAGGACTGCACACAGGAAAGGCACACCAGCCCAACATCCAGCTCTGCCCAGCCGTTCAGAGCTCCTTCCATCACGGCCATCTGTGCTACTAAATACTCAATTATATTCCTATTCAATGTTTAAATAGCTGCCTTAATTTCCATGCATTTTTAAACAGGCCTGAACATGTGCCCAAGATCCATTTAGTTTTCAGAGTTGTGATTAAGCAGTATAGTTCATTGTTCGTGCTTGTGCTTGACCACCTAGTGACTCTCTCACTGAGCACGTCAGGGGTTTGTTTGCTGGGGCCAGTCAGCAAAGGGAGATTTCACTGAAAGATATCATCACAGAAATCACAGAGTCATTCAGGTTGGAAAAGAGCTCAAAGATCACCAACCCCAACCCACCCTCACCATGGCCACTGAGCCACGTCCCTCAGTGCCACATCTCCATGGTTCTGGAGCACTCCACAGATGGTGCCCCAGCACTGCCTGTGCCAGAGTGGCCTGTGCCAGTGCCTTGCAATTCTTCCATGAAGAAATTCCCTACTATCTCAGCTGAACCTCCCCCAGCACAACTTGAGGCCATTACTTCTTGTCCTGTTAACACCACGCACATTCCATAATCAAAAGAAAACAACAACAAAGTAGATTAACAAAATGTTTGGTACAAATTAACAGTCTGCAACGATTTACACTCCCTTGTTGGAACATACGACCATCTTAAACCTAGCCATCCATCACTGTAAGCTCGTTTCCTTTCTCAATTATAGCTTGGGTGACTGAGAAATTCCACGTTCTTCTGTTTCACTATGCTCAGAAAGTTTGTTTCTACACTGAAATGTTTGATGGTATCAAAAAGGACTACAAAAAAAAAAAAAAGAGCCTACAAGTCCTTCTTTACTGACACAGACACCATAATCCCTTACACTTCAAGAGCTGTCCCTGTACTGCCCCAAACAACTCGTATTTAAGTGATGAATAGTTTTCAAGTTCTTCCCGTTTTTGTCATTTCCTGGCTTCAACAGTTCTGGTCTAAACTAATCCCATAAATCTAATGGGAAACCATGTTAGAGCCAATGAATATTCACTGAGACATAAATTACCTTCAACTGCTTTCTCTCTTCTTGTTTGCTTTTCTTTTAGCTCCCAACAGAACTATTACAGCAATCCTCCCCGTAGTCCAACCAACACTTAAGATACACAGGTTTTTAGAAAGCTTTTCTATTATATGCTCAATCAAAATATAGAAGACATCACTTTGGCTTTAACATTGCCTCTCCTTTTGCAAAACTGCAACACACGTCAGACATTCTGAGCATCTGCAGGAAAACACAGCCTGAGCTGAGGCAAGGCACAAAATCCATTGGGAAAACTCTGCTACCTGGATGTGCAAGAATGGAAACTGTTGCTGGTGATGCTGAATACATATGCTCAACTTTAAAAAAAATCTTATAACAAGAAAGTACCAGGCATGATCAGAAACCTTCAAAACCAAATTTCCCTGAAAAAAAAAGACATCCATATTTTAAAGTCACAGCTTAACCATTGGCAACGCCAGCCCAGAAATGCACTGAAAGATCAACTGTTCAAGGCTTTGTTTATCCAGGGGAAAACAGAACAAAAGAAAAGAAAACAAAACAAAACAAGAGGGAAATTACAGAGACAATAAGCTTTTGTGATTAATTACTGAGAATAAAATTCAAGCTGTAGTTACTGATGGAGGAAAACGGTACGTCCAATTCATTTAAAATCAAGTTACATAAAAAATAAAGAGCTTGTTTTTCACTCCACCGAGACACTGAAGTTAGAACTGGAAAAGTTGCAAAACAAAATGCATTGAATTTTGTCCAAATTCCGTGTATTACATTACAGTCATCTGCTAGTGATTAGGAGCCAGTGAGGTCTGCTGCAAAATGCTTACAAAGGATATAGAAATAGTCTTAAAATCTGAAACAAATTAGCAATAACTGGCCTCTAAGCATTTGATGAATGAGAAAAGATGGTAAGAAAATGAAAACCTCAGAACGCTTTTTAGATCAGCTGCCCTAAACAACCCTCACTTCAATTTCTAAAAGATCCAAATCAGCTGTGGAGTGTGATGTAACCACGGCACGACGTTAACACTGGGAAACTTGCCTTGTTGGTTAAAGGAGAGTGAGAAGGGTTATTAACGTGTTACTTACCTCACCATCATCCTCTTTAATCTGGACTAAGTGATCTGGAATGAGAGGTGTAAAGGTGGTAGTGAGAAGATCAGCCTGCACCACTTTCTAGATAACTAGGAAATGTCACTTCAAGCTGGATCACTTGCTTCTGTTCTTTCTGTTCAGGTATTACATACTTCAGAGCTTCACTTTTACCTTCCCTAAAAAGTCTGAAACAAAAAGGCAGAGCAGAACTCGAGGCCTGGCTCTTACAGCCTTAAAGAGTCCCACAAGAACAAGACTTAAACACTACTTCTAAATTTTGTGGAAGCAGTGAATGCCAGTGTTTGTTGGGTTTAAGAATGCATCCCCAACCCCAAAACCATTCGAGCTTTTATTTTTCCAAGCAAAATGTTTATGAATTGGAGTCACGTTAGATCAACAGCATATCATAGCAACGTAATCTCTACAGCAATTTAGGAAATTGCCCTGGAAGCTGCCTTTTGTCCCCGCTTTGTGCTACAGGCTTTCTGTCCCCACACTCAACTTCAGTTCCCGTTATTCACATTGCCTTTGTTATGCTCTGGAGAAAGGAAACAAGCATATCACTGACAGCAGCACTGACAGAGAGCAGGAAAAGGAGGAGAACGTTCGAGGGCAAAGGGAGCTCAAAGGAAGCGAAGGACAGGGCCAGAGCCTCACAGCTCAGCCCCGACACATCAGGGGCTTGCAGGTTGTGCCAGCTTAACAGCCAGAATCTATAAAAGGTATTTTAAGCCCTTATCTCTTCTTTAAGGCCCTGACCTACCACAGAACCTCAGTCACCAACACGAATAGTGCCCGTGTGCTCTAAATGGAGGCAGCGTCACTGCAGGTACACCGAGTCACCGCGCTGTGAGACCAGGAGGAAACCCGAACCTCTCAGATGTAACTGTGGGGCAGGTGAGAAGTCCTGCCCCTGGTACAGGGAGAGTCATTTTTCTGCGTAAAGCACCTAACCTTTCGCTCAAAGGCAAACCCAAATGCCGTCATCTCTGGCCCGCAAACCCCCTGCCCTCCCCGCCGGCAGGTGGGAGGGCTGAGGGAAGGGCAGGACCCGAGCGAGGAGCTCCCCGTAGCGCTTCCCGGGCGGGGAAGGGAGGGCCGTGTCCCCGCTATTAGTACCGTCCCGCCCGGATCCCGCCTCACAGCGCTCCGCCAGCACCATGCCGGGGCTCCGCGCCGCGCTGCCCGCCGCCCTCCTTCTCCTCCTCAGCTCCTTCCCGCCCGCCGCAGCCGAGCAGCCGCCGTGGCCGTGGGCTCCGGGCGTGATGCACGCGCTGAACCCCAGCGACCGCCAGGCCTCCAGGGCGGCGAGGACAGCGCTGCACTACAGCAACTACCACGGGGCGTCCCCCAGGCTGCTGCGGGCTCTGCGGCAGGTGCTGAAGGCTACCGCCAAGGTAGGAGGGGCGACGGGCGGCGGGGCAGGGGAGGGGAGCTGCCCTCAGGGCTGAGGGACGCTGAGCGAAGCGTTTCCCGCCTTCCCCACGCAGCAGCTGCACGGGGCGCCCGGCAGCCCCACGCCGCTCCGAAGCGCTGCGGACGCGCTGTTTCGGTCCTCAAGTCTTCCCCAGGGATCCCAGTGGCTTCAGACTGGGATCTCTATGAAAGATCGACGCCGACCGGCACACTTTTCACACATCAGAGAGATAACTTCCTATCAAATTTGACATAGCTACTGCATACCGTTCAGACTTTGCGCACGGCCTCCCGTCGCACACGGCGAGCAGCGCCTGGAGCCCCAGGGCACAGCTGCACGGCTCACACCGCCGCACGCGCTCTGTGGATGCAGCCGAGGGTGGCTGTGCTGGACGGGGCATTTCATGCTCCCTCTGGAACTCTGGCAGAAATCGATGACAAAAACGAACATTTGATATTTCTCACAAAGCACGCAGGTGCCCCTTTTGTACTTACTGGGCAGCGTGCACATGTAATATGGTGGAGGATAGGTCTCTATATTGCTGTGCCTGGCCAAGAAGGCTGGTTGCACCCTGGCTTGTATCAACAGCAGTGCAGCCGGCATCCATCCCTCCATACTCTTCTCCCAAACAACAGTCAGCCTGCCCAGGGAGCATTGGGGTCACCGTCCCTGAAGGTGTTCAGACCCATAAGATGCGGCACTGAGGGATGTGCTCAGTGGGCATGGTGGGGATCTCGGATTCCGGGTCTTTTCCAGCCTTCATGATTCTATGGCACAGCTCCCTGGAGCAGCACGTGTGATGGAAGCAGTGCAGGCATAACCCCACAGCTAGCGGGAGTTGAGGGGCTGGCGCAGATCTTTCCAACCTGTAACTGAATATCTGCAAGATGGAGTAAGGAAAAGGGATTTTCTCCACCCAGCATTGCCCACGTGCCTTTCAAAACAGGAAAGGAGAAATTGGCTCCTGGAGAAATGAAATGCCTCATTATTTCCTCATGGTACTCGATGCTGTGCAGCACTCCGTAACCACTTTCTGCAGGTTATTTCCCCTTTTTTCTTTGCATGCTCTGTAAAAACAAGAGGAGAAGCACAGCAGACATGGTCACTTCCTCCTTTCCTGTCCTTCCCTGTAAAAAATGAAAAGAATTTCCTGGAAGGAATGCACTATCTAATGCGAATATAAGAGTTATGGGTTTTTTGTTTGCTTTTAAGAAGGCAGTTTTCCTATTTATTAGTCTATTGTTGGATCAAGCAAAAATAGAATAGCTTTATCAGGGAATTTAATCATGAGCATTGTATTTAAAAACTGATATTATCATCCCACTAAACATTTAAATGGTGCCAATAAGAAACAGGACTGGAAAAAGCCTCCAGTACAGTAACTGTTCGATGAGGATTTTTCAAGCTCTGGTAAAATGAGCCTTCAGTGGCTCCTTCTTCCAGCAACCAGTAGTAGGCACATACCCGACACTGGCTGCAGTTCTCTGTTTTCTCATCGATTTTAGTTTAGCTTTTTAATTAAGTTTAGTTTTTTAATTTCAGTGAGTATCTTCCAGGAAACAGCAGCATGCATCTCATGGGATTGTTGACAGTTGCACTTTAAAATATGTATTTGAGAAGTGAAGCTGAAGAGCCTGGAATTCCAGAGAGAAACTCCCATACTGCTGAGCAGCTAGGCAGGTGGATCAGCAGGGAAGCACAGAGGTAAAGCTAGTTAATCACTCGACTGAACTGCAACAGTTTCTAAAATTGGGGTACCACATGCTATTTTATGGCTGGAGATCTCTCTACACAAGCTCATCTTGACACAAAACAGTGCCACGTCAGAACTATGGTACTGATATTAAAATAAGTCAATTAAAAGTTATCTACGAGTTTCTAACAGTCAGGTACCCAAGTCAGAGTGGGAAGGTAAGATCAGTTGCAGGGTAGCTTTATTATCTAGGGCACAAAAAGCAGCCGACTTTGCTGGCTTTTCCCTCCACAGCAGCCAGGGTAAAGCTGCCTGGGCTGGCTGGCAGGGATGTGTGGACCCCACACCTCTCCCTGTGTATACAAATATTTACTTTTCTTCTTGGATGCTATCTTTGACTACTTTCAGTCAGCCAGTGTTGTCTGATATCAAATATGCCTCAGCTCTTATTCGATTCACAGCGTGTGATGGTTCACAGGAATGCATTGTGGAGTAATAGTGAAAATAATAGTGGAAATCAAAGCAGTTTCTTCCATAGGACAAAGGCCCTGACGTTGTAACCAGCAGTGTGCAGGCAGGCTGCTGTGCTGGGCTACTTGAGGAAGAGGTTCAGCTGGAAACCCCACCATTACCTTCAGTTACATCAGACAGCCAAGCTTCTCCAGCTCCAGCAGTCCAACTGTTTCAGTGTCTCTCATCTGTAGTATTGATGACAAGACAAGGAATGAGCCTAGGTTGCTGTGCTTCAAACACCAATACTTCATCAAACGAAGAATGCTAGAGATAGTAGCTCTAATAACAACATCACTTTACAATAATTAGAACCTTAGGCTTAACTGCAGAGATCATGAGCAATTAAAACCTTCTGTCAGTGTCCCCAAATTACTGATTCTTTCATAAACCTGCAGTTCAGAAAGTTAGTTTTTACCAGTTTGCTACAGTAAGAGAAGAATGTAAAGCAGTAACACGTAATAATCTGTCATTTTGACTTAAGACTAAGTAGATCAGAAGGACAACATTTTGGCTAGTGCAGAAAATGGGGGCAGGAGAGAATGGCAGAGAGAAGATTGCAAAGGTCTGAACTCATCCTCTCTGTTCCTTCATTACACTCTTGGTATAATGTGGGCCCAACTCCAGACTTGGCTCTTTGTAAAGATTTCATGAAGGTAAAAATAAGAAGTGACTAAAGCAATCTGTCATCAGCAGTACCTAACTGCAGATGTACCAAAGACAGGAGCTGGGCTCACGGCCTTGCCCTGTCCATGCTGACACGATGCTGTTGATGGCTTTATGAAGGTATGGTGGGAACACAAAAGAACACATTTAGATAAGTAAGACACACACAGGTGCTTTGGATTCTAACCTTCAACGCCGTGCAAATGCCCAGATGCCCCTCCTGTTTACCTGAAGTGTACTGTGTTCAGAAAACAAACAGACTACCAAACAGCCCTGCTGCTGAACTACAGTGATTTGACTTCAGTGTACACTGTATAGCTTGCACTCTCCAGTAAAATGCATTTTCTACACACTGCATCACACACCTCACAGAGGAAAACCTTGTTAACACTGTCCTACACCAGTAGTGTGAAAAAAAAAAGCTAGAGGTTTTCAAGGGAGAATGCCTCTTACCAAAACAATCTATGCAAAACGAACCAGCTTTCAGATACAGAAATAATGCAGCTTATGTGTCAGAAAGCTTATCTAGTAAATCACAGTGCAGCATATAAAAATGCATACTTCACTCTTGACTGATTTCATCAAAGAGAGGCTTAGAAATATAGCCATCAGCTAAACAACACAAAATAGCATTCTGCAAGCAAATAGTTAATAAAGCTTTCCTTACTGTTTGCCACTCAGACTGCTCACTGGTCAGAAAATAATGGCTACAATAATGAAGTAGAGAGTATTTGGTACAAAGGCAGCCTTGCCTTCCCCCACAGTGCTAGGGGCACAGTCCAGAGAGCCACAAGGCTGCACTGCAAGCTGAGTCCTCCTCTCTTTCAGATCATTCCAGGAGTTGGTGTGAAGTATTACCTGCAGTTTACTACTGAAGACTACATAAATGGGGTAAGTTTACCATCCAACACATCTTAGAGTGTCTGTTAAACTCTAACACCTTCAAAGCGGTACACTTAAGTGTTTTTGCAAATGGGCCTTTCACAACATAAGGACCTACTGTAAGGCTTTCACCTGTCCAGCATGGGGCACAGTTTGCTCTTAGTAACACCCGAGTATCTCATCTATCAGCTCTTCTATGCAGGGGTCCAACTGCAGTTTCCTGCTTGACTTGCTGTCTTAGTAAGTCACATCAGGCAACAAAGCTTCTGAGTCAGACTTTGCAGTGGTCCAAACTCAGTGTTACACTGTGGTCCTCACCCAGCTGTAGCTCCTGCTGTGTCCACACACCACAATGAGAGCAGACATATAGCTGATTTTTTTTTTTTTAAATACAACCATCTCTCCATTTGTTGTTACAGCTGTCACTAGCAATTTTACCACAAGCGTCTGTTCTTCTATTGCACACTTATAATATTCAAATTACTTCCAGAATTTAATCTAAAGCATTAGATTACTTTTCTTTCAAGGCAGAAATATCAGACAATGAAAGTCCCATTATCAGCATTATTGCTTGAGAACTTGCAGACATTTCTGAGATGGCTCGGTACATTTCTGTTACATCTTGATTTAAAAGTTTTGTTAAATCACTTTCACCTTGTGGTTTACATTTCTTTAACTTTCTGGAGAAAAAAATAACGTTATGTACATCCTTTAAAGGTTTTTCTGATCTTTGTACAGCTTCCTACAAAGCATCCCATGTTCCTTCTCCAAACGCATGCTTCACTTATCTCTACAAAGAGCTTTTTAAGAATGCGTTGCTGGTAAATGAAGCGTTGATTAATGGTCACAGTCTGTAATTCTGCCTTTACAGGAAAATGCTGGGAGCTGCCTTGCTACAGTCTTGTACCTACAGAAGTCTCCGCCTGAAGTCAATATCAAGTGTGCTCACACTCAGGATAAGAAAGAAATCCAAGAAGAGGACAACAGATTTTACCAATATCTCCAGCATCGAACGAAACCAATAATTGCAAATGATATTCCAGGTACTCCTCCAAACAATCAACTGCACTTCATTTTATATCAAAAGAGTTTGCACACAAGTGAAGGAACGTGCAATTCAAAAAGCACAAACCCAAAGTAGCACCCTAAAGCTATAGGGCTAACGAGCAGAACAACTCACCTCACCACAAATTCTTGGGGAGAAAAATCCAACCATGTTTCGCAGCACAGTGGTAGCCAACACAATGTTGTGAACGTGTTCTGGTTTTGAAAAATAGACTGCAGTTTTACAGTCAAGTAAATGCAAAATATTCTGAAATAGCAGCAATTGCCTGAAGCCACAAACCTTCCACAGCTGTGGACAGGAATTCACAAGGGACGGGAAACAAAATTCTTCCATCCTGGAAATGGTGCACCCAGATACCTCTTTTCCTCCTGGTTAAGTAATGACCTCCACTATTGTGGATATTGGGTTTCCCACCTCATTGAGGGGAACTGGTGATTAACACCTCTTGGTAATTTCACTTCCATCATGCTGGCATACTTCTGCAGTCACAGTAAATTTAGGATCGATTCATTCTCCTCCCAGTTCACGACTGTTAAGCGCCTGCAGAAAGAGCCAGCTCCCAGGCACAGTGCCATGCCAGGCAGCAATGCTCTGTGGTTTATCCTGTTTCTGATGAACAGCCAGAATTCATCATCTTTATACGACTCTCTTTCAGACAGCCATGGAAATATTGACCATGCCCATCTTCCACTGTGGGGCTTGGCTATTGCTGGTAGCAGTTACATCATGTTGGAGAAGTCAACAGAGAACTTGGGTTACTTCATGGCACAAGTCAAGGCTGTGAAGCAGCAGGTAAGCAAATGGAAATTACACATCTGCCTTACAGGTGACAGCCTATAGAATGGCAAAGAATAAAACAGCTGCCAACATCTCACACTCTCTGTAATGGCAATGGTTCGTCCAGAAGTGGATCTGTTGGCTTCTGCAGGTTTAATCAGGAGATTTGAACGTATGATCCTGCTGTTCCTCAGCCCCATACCATGTGCTCTTTGCCCCCCTACCCAAACTTCAGGGTAGCACCAGTCCAATATGCATTCTGGTGAAAGTACCTTACACCTACAGCCTACAGAATAGGAGTTCCCAAACTTTCTCTTACTCATCTGTGCATTCATTTTTCACTCCCAAGTTACATAGAATAGCGTTTCTGAAGGAGAGTTTAATAGACAAGATTACCACATTTATTTGAGGATTAACTGAATGAATTATTACCTGTGTAAGCCTAGTTTCATGCCAGGGTACAGACATACACTGTAGTTACTGTCTTTGAAGTTTTATGCTGTAACTGCTCCTGATTCCTCCTCTGTTCGTATGCAAAAACCTGTCTTACTCCAGCCAGATATCACAGCCATCTTAAGCCCTATTCTTCTCACTTTCTATGCAAGCTAAGCGCATCAAGTAAATCAGGGTAGATTCTAAACTTCAGCAGTGTAACTTGTGTTGTTATTTGTCTTCCTTTGATGCATGACCAGATAAGGAAGGACAGTGCTGTTGAGTTTGAATTCATGATCTTGCTCCACGAAACTCCAACGCAGGTAAGAAAGCATATTCACACAGTACCTACCTCCATCAAGAGAGAAACGGGATAAAGATCACAAAAGACAATTATTGTAAAATCTCTTCTCCAGAAAATAGATCTCTGTCACATGCACCTCATTTGGACACTCGGTCACCCTCTGAGGGTGAAGTACATCTGCACTTCAGATAACCATCGGCTCGAAGATGGCTCAGGACAGGACTACGGCTCAGCTGCTGGGATGTTCCATGAAAAGGAAGGGAATTTTTAAAAGCAATTATTAGCTTTATGCACACATTAAATGGGAAACCTCTGTGTAACAGGCCTGAAGTTGTGATCATTTTTCAATCCAAGCCTCATTACAGTAAATTTGAATCATCAGTTCTTTCATCTATTTGTTCCAGAATGAACCTCTATAATTTCTCTAAATTAATGCTCTAGGGATCTACCTAAAAACTTTGCTACTATACATACACAGATAAAAATCTTGAGAAAAGTATTAATCTGTCACTAAGAGATATTTGCTGGTTTTTTTGAGATAGCTACCTGCTGATTTTTAAATAACCTCCAATAAAATAAATACCATTATACAGAGTGGAAGTTGGATTTTCTTTCACAATGCTGTTAGACCCCAACTTTCCATCTTCTCCCGGTACTTGACCTTTAAAAGGCTGTGGATGAGCAGCAAAATCTTTCCCCACAAAGCCCTGCAGAAGCCAGTAACCAGCACCTGCACTGTCCCAGTCCTGCTGACGTGCTATCAGGGGTCTGTAATCAGCTATGAGGATTCAGGTATTTAATGTGAAGGTTTATCTGGGGTTATTTAGGCTGGGTGATCTGATATCCTCCCAGATTTCGGCATTTTACACAAGTTTATTAGAGTGATGTAATGTTACCGACTGCAGGTTTTTATGTCAGCACATAACAGGCATTACAATAAATTCAGTGAAGCAGTATCTCACGTACGTTTTGTGTTGGCAAGACATTTCTCAACAAAAACACAAAGTCAGAGCTTTCAATGGCAACATTTCTTCAGTTAAAAAAGAAAAAAGGTGATGAAAATATTTTTAGAATTACAGCAAGCACATGCTGTGCACTCTGAGGCTCTATTTTAGCAGTGCACTTAACTGCAAGTTTGGTTCCCTTACTCCATTTTTACCACAGCTCTCCGTATCCAGAAGAGAAGAACTTCCAGATCAGTGTCAGGCAATGCAATCTTAAGGCAGTTAAGCAACTGCAGAACTGTAACTTCCGGACAAGTAGCAACCCTGCTGGAATCCAAAGGCAAAATTTCCACCAACTTCTTCAGGGCCAAAACTTCATTCGACCAACCACAGCCTGAAATGGTAGGTTTTTACTCAAGCAAAATTACTGGTGAGGCCAATGCAGTCGTGATCTGAGCTGAGGCTCAGACTGGTTCACAGTGAATTCTTCACGTTAAGAAAAACCAACATAGTGTGCCTCTGTGTTGTAAGGGGCTGCGTACAGACAAGAGAAGACCAAGTGCTCTCTTCCACTTTTACAGAATCACCACGGTTGGAAAAGACCTACAAGATCATCCAGTGCACCCATCCACCCATCACCAACAGTTCTCACTAAACCACGTCCCTCAACACAACGTCCAAACGTTCCTTGATCACCTCCAGGCTCAGTGACTCCTCCACCTCCCTGTGCAGCCCATTCCACCGCCTGACCACTCTTTCAGAAAAGCAGTATTTCCTAATGTCCAGCCTAAATCTCCCCAGGTGCAGCTTGAAGCCATTCCCTCTCATCCTATCCCCAGTTACACGAGAGAAGAGGCCGACCCCCATCTCACTGCAACCTCCCTTCAGGTAGTTATGGAGAGCAATAAGGTCTCCCCTGAGCCTCCTCTTCTCCACGCTCAACAATCCCAGCTCCTTCAGTTGCTCCTCATCAGGCTGTGCTCCAGACCCCTCACCAGCTTTGTTGCCCTTCTTTGAACCCACTCCAGGACCTCAATGTCTTTCTTGCAGTGAGGGACTCAAAACTGGACACAGTACTTGAGGTGCAGCCTCACCAGAGCTGAGTACAGGGAACTTTTTGCTGCTAGGAAGAGCTCAACTAAGTCAAAATCACAGACACACAAAATCTAAGGCACTCCAAAACAAAGCTCATACTTCTTTCCTTCCTTGCATCCACTGTCCCCACCTATTCACTACTCCCCCAACCTGTAGATCTTTCTCCCTTGTATTTAAGTCCAGTAGAGCCCACTGTGCCTCAGCTGTCCCTACAGAGTGCCACTCTGATCATGTGCTAGCTTTATGGAGAACCAGCACACATCTGGCAGAACCTATTAGCCAAGAATTCCCATTGTGACTGGCCTCTAGTGTAAAGGCATAACGTAAATATAACTAAAAATGATAAGCACCCCATCTCTCTTTACCCTGCATTCACATCACATACATAAAACATCCCTAAACTCTGATGAACGGGCTATAACATTCCCTTATTTTTAAAACTCTCCAAATGTCAGAGTACCCGCAGGGCTTTTTCTTGGAACTACTTCCAGCTGGACATTTTCACAAGAACAAAAGCTACGGATGTGAGGGAATCACCAAAGATGTAGCCCAAAGCAACAACATGCTTCTACACGACACCATACCTGCACCTCGTTACCATTCACATGCCCCTGACAAATCTCTGACACTGTTCTCATTCCAAGTTTAAAAGAAGTCATTTCCACTGCATGTCTGTGAGTGCAGAAGAAAAGAAGCCCAGCCATGGCAGTACTATCTGCATCTGGTAAACATCAACCACGATCCTGTGCCAGGAGCATAGCTGGTTTTCAACTGGAACTTCCTCCTCTGCTTACTGGAAAATCTGTTTATCTGCAAAAATGCTGCTAAACTGAGTAAGTCAGGAAAAGAGAGCGTGCAACCAAAATCCAGAGCAGATCTGGTAATAATCAAATGAAAATTGATGATTATATCTTCTCTTTCTCACCTAATTGTCACATCCTTGTTTGAGCTCTCCTGTACGAGTAAGATCTATCCAGCTGATCCCCAAGCTAAATAGCAGCAGCAGCAGCACGCTCTCCTGACTCCAGGCTTCTAAAAAATAAAGGAATCCCTTCATTTTCTGAATAAATGCCAAGAAAGTAAGAACATACAACAAAAACCGACTGCTCCCAGTTTTGAAGAGAGTTAACTTCTATGGCCATTCCTGTCAACTCTTTTCAAATGCCTTGAACCACAAGTGATAAGCAGACTGCTGGTAAGTTAACTGCACTGACAGATGACCTCGACCATTTCATTATGGCTTTGCTGTTTCTGAAGAAAGCATTCATTCTGCAGACTGTATGCTGTCAGTGAACTGCAGGAACAAAAGGATCCGAGCTTGGAGCACTAGCAGTAAGACCAGCAGCACATGACAATTCATTTCCCACGTCTATCCAGAGCTTCTGTTCAATCTCCTAAATGAAAGCCTTCAAACAGTAATTAGCCTACTAACAAAATAATTATTTATCAAGTAAAAAAAATAAAATTATTTTAATACAAAAGAATTAAGACACATTTCAGGACAAATTCTTATCATTGTTATAGCATTTCTGTATTTCGTCAGTGAGCAGCATTTACATCTGAACAATTCAGCTGTCATCTCCCAGTGACTGCTGACAACACCACGAAGGAAGGATATTAGGATGGAATTGTAAGTCTGAGTCCCACTGCAGCCTGCACAACTTCCAGCCAGGCTCAACTGCTTCTATGACTGAGCAACCAAGCTCTTCCAGAAGGCTGTGAAAACTGTTCCACGTACTCAAGAGGAAAAGTCAGCTTTTAGCTTTGCCCTTTTTCGCAGGAAGTCGTCCTGTTGCTTCGAGGTATTTGTTAATTATTTCTTCTTGAGTACTGGGCAAACATGGCTGATACTTACTGTATTCCATTGTATATTCACCTTTTCCCTGAAGAGTTGGAGAAACAACAGTCAGAGTTAGGGTGCTAAGCAAGGAACCTTCCTTAGCTGTAGGCCATGCTCCAATCTGTGACCTTATGTGCACAAATAGCTTACAGTGAAGCACACCAACACTGCACTGAGGCACATAGATGGAGACACAAAGATAAACAGGATCTGATCGTTGTTTGAGACAAGACTGTAAGGCTGTCTGCAGTAATAAAGCTCCGTTGGAATGCTCAGAGAATACAGGTATTTGTGTATCATATAGGTAGAGCAGAAACTTTTAATTAACACAAAGAAAACAATCTCAACCGATTCAAATGTGTTCAATGAGCATCTAACTGAGGGTATATGTTAAAAAAGGAACTTATTAACGTGAGCACTGCTGTCTGAAGTCTCACCTCCTTGCAGAAATCAGTAACTTAAGGAGCATGGCTACACTTTTCCAGACTCTGAGTGTAATACCTCTACTGATTATTCTACTGATTATTATAATACTCTGTATTATTTGCAACTTTGAATGTCTTCTCTCTCCAAAGTATGAGAGAATTTTTCGCCACATGAGGCCGGCAATAGCTACGTCAATTAAACACCAGTTAAAGTAACGATAATTAAGGTTATTTTCCTATTATCATTAACAGTATTGTGATTTGTATCACTTTTACTGATGCATATACTATGCTAACAATGATGCAAATTAGCACATTTGATTTACATAAGTATTTTTAGCAAAAAGCACTGAGAATACTTACTTCTGTGCAGGACCGCAGCTCAGTGGCATATCCAAACATATCATTCAGTGGCACCTAAAATCAAAGCACATCATTCTTATAAGATATTTCTTCATCTATCAATGGATGTCACTCAATTAATCTCAATTATGACATAAAGAGTTGAAAAATCCCCCGTAACTCTCTGCATCAGCACTGCTGCACAGATTTCACTCTAAGGCAGCACAGCCAGCCTCAACAAAACCATGCTCCTTCCTCTGCCACCATATGGTCCTTAGGTTAAGAAGTTGGCTTCTCCAAAGCAGAACAGATTTATAACAGGTTTACTAATATTGCACAACGCGCTTCCACAGATGGAAAATTAAATTCATGCTTGTCCACCGAATAACTCGGCTAACACAACTGCAGCCAACCACACAAACAGCAACAGAGTCGAAAGAAAAGAGAGGGGCACCAGGGAAGCACACACCTCCGCATACAGAGTGAAGTACCCTTCAGTGCCATCTTGCCCTGTGATGACTCCGTGACGGCGATTAATGCCAGCTATCACTGCTCCTTGGAACTCAGTGGGTGCCACCACCTCCACGGCCATCACGGGCTCAAGCAGACGCACAGCAGCACTTTCCATAGCTGGAGGAAAGAAGTTAATTAAATGTCCTCTTATGCAAGTCTACCTAAATCACAGACATTAAACAATTCTTAACTTGGCCTTGCAAGAAGCCTCCCAAAGCTGCCTCAGTGATGAGGCCAGGAGTGACAACTTAGACAACATTTCCTATGACAACAAGAGTGAGCAGAAACATGAAGCTGTGTTTTGCAAGACTGCATAAATTAACCTCCAGCTACATTCACACACAGCTACAAAAGCAAAGGAACAAGCCTGGTTTCACTCAAGATAACCCTTTGCATAGCAAAGAACTGTTTTACAGTTAATGCTGAATGCT